AATCCTATTATTACTGAGGAGGAAAACAATATGCTTCTAACAATTCCATCTAAAGAAGTAAAATCAACAATTTTTAGTATTGGAAGTCTAAAATCTCCAAGTTCGGATGGAATGCCAACTAGTCTTTAATGTTGGGATAAGAAATAGTACATGTAGTCCAGGATTTCTTTCTAAATAAAAGACTGCTTTGAAGACTTAATCACACTTTTATCTGTCGATCCCCAAAAAAAGTAGATTGTATGAATGTATAAAACTATCAATGTATCAGTTTATGTAATGTACTATATAAAATCATAGCAAAATTGATAGCTAGTAGACTAGTAATTCCATTATCACTCATGAGATGTTCCATTTTCTTAAACACAAAAAATTGAGGTATAGGCTATGTTTCCCTAACGCTAGTTATGTCTAAAGCCTATGACCGTTTAGAATGGGGTTTCCTCCTAAAAGACTTAGTTCTCCTTGGTTTCTCTGATGATTTCTATCAGATGATGAAAGAATGCATCTCTATGGTCTCCTTTTCAATTTTAATTAATGGTACTTTGGAAGGGCATTTTTGCTATACTAGAGGCCTATCTCAAGGATACCCTCTTTCCCCCTATCTGTTCATCTTGGCCATGGAGGGATTATCCCATTTAATCTTGCATGCAAAGTAGGAAGTAAAATTACAAGGCATCAAATTAAACCCTTCCTCTCTATCCATCTTCCATTTATTTTTTGTGGATGATACTATGCTATTTTTTGTGCCAATAGAGAAGAGTTAGATCATTTGAAATAGATTCTTCTTTAATTTCAGTCAGCTTCAGGTCAACTAATAAACTTTGAAAAATTAGGTCCCTACTGTAGTAAGAATATTCATCCAAAACATCAAATAATGATTAGGCGACAATTACACATGGGCTTTCTTAATTAAAATTCTAAATATGTGGATCTTCCTCTTTTATGGGCTAGAGATAAACATGTTAAATTAAATTATGTCATGGAAAATCTTAGTTCCAAACTAAATAAATGGCGAGCTTCAACTATTAGCCAAACTGGAAAGAAATTTTTAATTCAATCCGTTCTTTAACATATTCTCCCCCATTCTATGAGCCTTTTAAAATATCCACAAAAAGTGACTAATAGTGTTGAAAAGATTATTAGTGGGACATCTTTGACTCTTAGATTCATCCTTATCGTTGGTGTTCTTGGCATAAAATTACTTTACCAAAGGAATTTGGAGGTCTTGGGCTTAAAAATTTGAAATTAGTAAATATGGCCCTTCTAAAAAAATTGCTTGGGGCGGAACCTCAATGAGCAACATAAATTTTGGGATCAAGTTTGGAAATCAAAATATTTAGAACACCACACTCCCATACCTTATTCAACTACTTCCTTATTCTCTTTTTATTGAAAATCCATAACCCCAAAGATAATAGAACTATCTTTGGAGTGTGGTCACCTAGTAAATGAAATTCTCTCTATCTCTCTCTCTCTCTCTTTTGTGGACCAAGTAGCTTGGATTCATTCTCACAATGAATTCTATTGGATTCCTTTCCCTTGAGCCAAATCTCCTTTCTTCAGGTCAATGGAGTGGAAACCTTATCATTTCTTTGTTTTTAACTAAAGAAGCTACAAAAATTCTAAGAACTTCAATCTTCTCTTCAAATAATGAAATCACTTGGATCTGGGTTGTTCATAAATCAGGCAAATTCTAAGTAAAAGAGGAATATAAAAGAAACCAACAATATTATCTCCCACCTATTTCCTCCCATATCAAATTTTGCTTAAATAAAATATGGAAACTCTTTATTCCCCTAGATATTAGTTATTCTTCTGAAGTGTACTTAACAATTTCATTCCAATAAAATGCATGATTTGTCTTAATCCTCAAGATAAAATTTGTGTTCTATGTCATGAAGCAATACAGTCCTTTTCGCATCTATTTATTGATTGTCAATATGCTCAAGCTATTTTCTTTGCAGCTCCCTGGAACTTACATCTTAATAATACTAGTAATTAAGCATATGCATTGCACGTGAGAAATTCTTCTTCATATTCATTACTTGAATTTTAGATATATTATAGTTAAGATAGAAATTGAAAATTAACAAAAGTAACAATATGATTAAAAGTAAACTTAAATATTTATTATTCAATTATGACATTATGGGTTTTTTTTTTTGAAATGTTGGATCATTGACGCACCATCTAGATAAGAAATTAAATTTGCTTTTGGATTAGTGTTAAAGTAGGGAAAATTATAGTCGAAGCCAGTTGTACATTTAAAATTAGGCTACAAGTTGGTCCATATACCAACAAAACTCTGACAACCGGCTTCACATTTCAAATTATAAAAATCTTGCCATGTCATCAGAGGCTTATGTGGCTATTGTCAACATGGGACTCTTAATCCATGTTGGACACTAAAAAAAAGCTTATACTGAAATTGCCCTTTAATGTTGGGTGATTGGAAAATAAAAAGAAAATGATTTTAGCTTTTCTTTCTCTCCCTCACTCACAGTCATCTTTATCTACTCAACAACTACGAGATTTGAAAATAAATAAATTGGTTTTTGTTTTTTGTATTTACGTTTTCTATATCAAGTTCTCTTATTCTCCATTAATTTCTATCTTTCTCCCTCAGTTTCTCTCTCGCTCCCTCTCTCATTTTTTTAATTTTCTTACATGCTTATAGAGTATTAATTAGATCATATAAAACAATATGAGATCAACTTGGTATGGTTTAAAAATTAATACACCAATTTAATAAAAATTCACAAGAAGCTATTGACTATGAAATTTACATCAATTGGAGAATGATAGAGCTTGAGGGACAAGGAGATATTGTTCAAGAGGGAGAAGAATGAGAGAGAGAGAGAGAGAGATGTTTTGATTTGGTTACAAATCAAAGCTAAGAGAGTGGGAGAGACAGAGGGAGCGGGAGATCAAGAGATGACTGTACGAGTGAGAGAAAGGAGGAAAATCGAGAGACGAAGGGAGTGGGAAAGAAACTTAAAACCTATATTTGGTATATGTTTTTTGTTGTGTCCAACATGGACTAAGAGTCCTATATTGGCAATAGCCACATAAGCCTCCGATGACATGGTGTGGGTTTTTATAATTTGAAATGTAGAGTTAGTTGTTAGAGTTTTGTTGGTTTCTGGACTAACTTGCAACCTAATTTTAAATGTACAACTGACTTTATCTATAATTTTCCCTTTAAATTTTATATTTCATTTACATTATATAAAATATTTTTTACTTATCACACTTTTTTTTTGTCTATGGTATCATTTGACTCAAACCACTAACCCACCTTCTAAAAATAAAAATTGTTTGATTTCTAGGTTAACATTAAATTTTGTATTATATTTCCATCATTGATAAAATTATTTCTTATGTATAAAACTTATTTTTGTTCAATATAATGAATGCACAATATTATAGATGTACCTAATATTTTATTTTTTTATAAATATATAACATTAGATATGTGCCCAAAATTTTCTCTATCTTTTTTTTTTATTTGTGTGATTCTTTGTATTTTCTATTATTAAAAATTTTATTATTCGACTATGACATCATTTCATTTCTAGGTAGATTTTGAAATTGGCATTCCATTTTCATCATTAATAAAAATATTTATTGTACTTTATAGTTATTTATTTTATTATTTAATTATGACATTATTTATTAATCCATTTGACCCCAAATGGTCGAATTGATTACCCACCACCGGGAAAGAAGAATATGGTTTTGTTTTTAAATTAATTTTCAAAATATTTATTTTATATTATTAAAATTAATATTGTGAATTTAATTACAAGAATTTAATGATGAGAAAAATATATCTTAAATATAGGATTTAATTAGAGATAATAGGAAAATATTTTTATTTCCAATTAGTTTTAATTTTTGCATTCCATTTCCATCATTATTAAAATCATTTCTTATTTATCATACTTATTATTGTTTAATATGTATGTTAAAAATGTTTCTAATTTTTTAATTTCTATTTTTTCATTATATATATTTTTAATTTTGTTATTTAACCGTGGCAACATGGATCAACCCATTTAACCCAATATGATGTAATGTCTTTCCACCACCTAGATGAAAACACTATTTTTGCTAGGTAGATTTTAAAAGTATAAGCTTTTATATTATTAGAATTATTAATTTATTAAGTATGGATTTAATTAATAGTACTTAATGATAAGAAGAAAAAAATGACTTAAATATACGGTTCAATGAACATAAATGTAAGCTAATAGTTTAAATGTTGGATTTAATGAGAGATAATTGAATGCATCGAATATCTTTAAATTAACTCTTTTCAACTTATTTAACATAAAGAACCAATTGCCTATTTGCCCTCATTTTTTATCAATAAATTTAAATATAGAGGGATAAATTTTGTCCTTAAAAAATTCTATAAATATTATTGAGGCCATTCGTGCTTTTTAAAGTAGTATAGATATTTCAAGGCTCCTGGGTGTCTTGTATATAAATAACTTTTATAGTTTGATTGCAAAGGATCAATTATTTTTACAAATTTTAGGGTGGATTGCTAGTGCATGTATTATATTTGATATACCCGAAATGAGAAATGTTTCAAAAATAGACAAATACTTCCCCAAACTATCATTAATATAATAAATCAAACAATCCAGCATATCTCTATGCCTCATAATTATTCTCATGGTTTTGATGTGCATTCCACTACTCAAAAGTGTTTGCTTCCTGTCTACCAATCTATTGATTTAATTATCTTTATTGATGCAGGGAAAATATTTGACTCTTTATGCAGTTTTGGCATTATCATATATCAAGGAATTTATCCTGCTTAAAAATTACAGGAGGCTGAACTTCCACTATTACTTCTATTGATCAAGCTGAACTTTTTGCTATTATGAAGGCCTTAACAGAAATCTAAAACTGGAATTGTGAAGATATCTTTATATGTTCTGATGCACAACAGATTGTTCAAGCCTTACAGAAGACAAGTGATCTGCCCTTGGCTTTTGTTAAAGACCAAAAACTTAGTTATGAACCTTTCAAATGTGAAGTTTTATTCTGTAAATTGAACTTATAATGTTCCTGCCCACATGGCGTCGCAAATGGCTAAATCGCATTCTCAACTTTTTCTTTGCGATGAATGACTATCTGTTGAGAACAGGCCCTAAGCTTTGAGGCAAAATCTGTATCCAACAATGCCGTTGGATCGGGTCGGAGTCAGGATGGGTCCGCTCAAGTTGCACCGTATCTAATTGGAGTCACAGTCCGTTTCAAATTCCTCCATTTGGAGCAGAGAGTAAAAATCGCAAGGGCTTCCAAGCTTTGCCGCCAAATTTCCCCTGCAAGAGTCAAATAGCAGCTAATCAGCTAGTTTCTGAATCGTTCTTCAAATCTGTTGCAATTGCTAATTCTATATGGCGTCATCCATCCCTGACGATGACAATGACGATGTCCGTTCAGATAATCTTTCCCATCTCTCTCTCTCTCCAATTGTTTCAATTTTCCAGGATGTGCATTTGGAGAAGAGTACTAGATTACAAAATTTTCTTCTTCTGTAGGAAAACCCATTTTGCATTTGCTACTTTTTTGCAGCCTTTCGATTGGGAGGCAGCCGTTAAAGAGATAGATGTTGCTTGCCAAGGCGCAGCCACCTCGACTTCCCTCCCCGAGGATTCTGCCCATCCTGTCCGAGAAGGGACCGACGCAATCCATCAGAAATCCAAAAAACCCGGGGGTGCCCGGCAATCCACTCTAGATAGGTTTGTGGGGAAGGTTGATCGAAAGTTTGTTTTCGAGAATCGATCTATTAGCCGTAGGGTTGATGAGAACATTGGCGTTGATGATACAGTCTGCGATGTTAGCATTGATCTTGAGGCAGCTAAAACATGGATGTACCCAGGTTTAAGATGCCTCCTCCCTTCATTACAGTTACTGAATGTGCTTTTATTAATCTGTGTCAAATGGGCTTTTGCAATTTCTCATGATTGAAGTATGTACATTTTGATTTTAAATTCACGAGCTGATAAGTTGACCTTCTGGGCAACGTTATTTTTATTGGGATTTGTTGGTCAGAGTTTCTACAACTCTAAGGATAAATCTTTGTCTTATTCTTCTTTTTCTTTTGGCAGTTAATGTCCCTCTACGTGATTACCAGCTCTCAATTACTAAGACATCTCTTTTTTCCAACACACTAGTAGCATTACCAACAGGACTTGGGAAAACTCTCATTGCTGCTGTTGTAATGTATAACTACTTCAGATGGTTTCCCGAAGGTAAATCAGAACTTTTATTATTACATAAGGCTTTTGTGCATGGTAGCTATTTGTTTTCACCGTTGGATTGTATATGTGAAATTCTATATGAGTGGAGTTTCATTTGGACAGCTTGGATTAGTATAACTCTTTGGTTTGTACTTTGAAATGAATGGGTTAAGGCAAACGTAAAGATCATTGAACACTTTTTCAAGAAAACTGATCAGTTTGTACATCTAATCTCTGAATTATAATGCTTACGTTAGGACTCTTTAGTGTTATCTTTTGGTATGAAATTTCTCGTAGATTAGTTTCTTTTACATCCCGGTAGTCTCTCCTGTCATCATTTAATTTCCTTGGGTATATGTGATGTGATTATAAATCAAAGTTTCCCACCAAAAATATGTATGTTATACTGGAGAACCTAATTGTTAGTTTCATTGGAGTTAAATAATGCAGTAATCTGGTTATGAGAGTTGGGCAAGAAATCTATGCGTTTATGCATCCCATACAACAGCTATGGCTAAACCAGAGATGATCTAATATGGCTCATATTTAAAGAAATGGCATTTAACTTAAACATTTTTAACCAACAGGAACACCCCTTTACGTGCATTTTTCCCTATCAAGGCTTCCTTCTCCGATTTTCCATAAGACAGATGAAGCAACTATTTCTTTCTTGAAATGGCATCTGAGGGAACTAAGGGCCTAACTCTTGACTTTTGTAACTGGCTCTTTTGAGTTTGAGTCTGTGATGGTTAATGTAATGCAGTAGTGCTTCTTTCTGTAGCTTTCTTGTGAGGAATCAGTAAATAGTCTACAATTTTGAAACTAGTAAATAATTGTAACATAAGATAGGAAATTGCTGATTTGTAGATTGTTGTCAACTGTGACTCCAGGACCATTATCCAATGTTGGTCCTGGCTATTTGGGGTCTTAGGAGGGGTGGACTAGATATAGACCTGATGTTTGGCATTTTTTGTACCAAGTGGAGACTTTCAAACACCCACTATTCACTCTCATGGGCTTTTCTGAATTTTTATGTACTTTTGGATGGTAAGGGTATCTGGTCACTCAACAGAGTCTGGCCTAGTCATAGTTGAATTGCCTTTGAAGTTAAAGGCAGTCAATGACAAAGTTGTAATTTTCCATTCTTTTATATTTTGCAGGAGTATGGTGGCCAACTCTAGAGTCCATTTATATGTGTTTTGAGTAACAATATGGCTAATGAATTCTTGATGAAATTTTACTTATTGCTTCTATGATGATGAGTGATTCCCTTAAATTGTAGAGTGATTCTATGATTGCAATTATGGGTTCTCTATCTTTCTCTGTCTTGTTTTTTTGCTCAAGTTCTTTGATTTCAGCATTTATCAGCTATCAAAGACTTGGAAAAACTCCGTAAGATGACTTCATTAGAGGGTTGATAATCCTTTTATCATTTCCCACAAACCTAGATTTTTTTTTTTGGATAATTAACAAACCTATAATTTTCCTTGAACTTGAAGTTTTCCTTTGTCTTTTTGTACCAAACCACCTCCGAGGCTCTGAATTCCTTTATATTAGTTCTTTCTACAAGTCTTTGTTGGTATAAACCTTTGAAGTTTCACTCTACCAAACTTGGTTGCTTCTGACATATTGTCATTTTAAACCTTCATAAAAAATTCCATCTTTAGCTCAGATCTTGAGTTTTCTATTTTTTCTTCACAACACTAGGAAGTATTTGTAATTCTCATTGATCTGACCCAAAAAGTCAGATATCCTTGTAACCCCAATCAAATCACTGTAATAGGCTTAGGGGCAATTTGGTAATGGCTAAAGTGGCTGAACTAAGTTGTTTATTGCTTTGACTTTTAGCAAATAATTGAGTTATTCAGGAGATTGTTAGTTCCTTGATGGCTGAAGCTGAAGTTGGGTTGATTACTACATTCCTGAATATTTTTTATTTAACTTTTTCATCCATTAAATGATCTGTCATTCAATTCAGCCACTTAGCTGTTGTCAAATGGATCTTTAGTTCATTGCTAAACCTAAATTGAACTCTATACCACAGATACATACTTGTCCTATGTCAGTTGGATATCATCATATCACTTATCTTAAGATTTTGAAGGTGTTTTGATATTTATTTTGGTACTTCTGTAAATGGAAATATGTAAGCATTTTAAACCATGAATAGTGATTGCTAATTTGTTCATTATTTCGATAGCATTTTTATTTCTTATTACATTGGGTGGGATCTATTTATAAATATGGACTCATGAAACATTGGAATCTATGCTTGGAATTATCATGACAGGAAAAATAGTTTTTACTGCTCCGTCACGACCTCTAGTCTTGCAACAAATTGAAGCATGCCACAATATTGTGGGAATACCTCAAGTAAGCATATTTTTCCTGACTAGATTTAGATTTCTTAAGGATTCAAGTCAATCAGAGGAAAGATTATCTTGCCTCTCTTTTACATGTTTTGAGAATATTGGGATCAAACTGATTGCAGGAATGGACAATTGACATGACAGGTCTGATGAGCCCTTCAAGAAGATCATGTTTTTGGAAAACTAAGCGAGTTTTCTTTGTTACACCGCAAGTGCTTGAAAAGGACATTCAATCTGGTGAGTCTCTAAATCTATTGTTTAGTTTTTTCTTTGTTTACCTTCAAGGAAATATGTTAAAGAGACAGAAGGGGGGGATATATGATAGGAGAAAAGGACCCTGAACAAAAAGTCTGTAAAAGGTCACCCTTCCCCAAGGGAAGAGGCTGCACGTGACATACATTCTCTCAGGGGCTCTTTTCATCTTTATCTCTTTCTCCTTTCATTGTTTAGAAAAGCTTTCTTGTTGTTGATTGAAAAAAAGACCATAAAAAAGATACACATCCCTTAAGCATACAGAAAAACCTGAAACCTATTTGCCTGCATGTACTGTTTGTGGAATTTAGACTTAACTTTTGCAAATCTTCTCTTATGTTTTTTAGTGACTCAATTATAGGGCATGATAACCATAACGTCCATTAATTCTAGTTTGAACAATATTGTTGAAGATCTTGAAGATGGAAGTGGCCTTATCCTAAGCTTGCACAGGGCAGATCAAAGACATACTTGGTTAGTTTTTGAACAATAAATCTATGACTTTTATATCAGAAACCAAGAGAAAACTTTGAAGCATTAGACTCCAGTTTTTTTGATAGGTGTGTGTAATGGATGTGGATGATGATGAGAAATAGCTGAATAGGGTTTCAAACAAAAGTTACATACTTGTATACATGTAGTCAAGGGGACGAGAATTCTTAGAAACCCTGCAATAGTATAACTGTGACAATCGAAGGCAGAATTGGTGAAGGTAACTTGTTGTTATGTTATTTGTAGTGTTATTTGGTGGTTTCAAGAGACAATGGTGCAACAAAGACACCCATTTTGTAAATTGAGAGACCTAAGTTAGTATGCTTACAACTTGGCTTTCTCTCTTAAGTATAACTTGGTTCTTGGTTATGATGCAGAAAATGGAAATATTGGGGGGGGGGGGGAGGAAAGGGTGGAGGCTGAGGATGGGGGGAAAGGAGTAAATGAAGAGACATAAAATAGGGGAGGGAGATGTGCATGAGGCATATTCCTTTAGCACGCCTCATGAAAAAAGCATACGAGGCACACTCCTCTTGCACTTGAGGCGTATGCCTCAGAGGTTTCAGTGCCTTTGGCATACGTCTCAAGGCGTTTTGTGGGGTGCCTCGCTTGGAGGCGCACCTCTAGGTGTGCCTCCTACGCCTTTTAACACATTGTTTTTTGTTATTTACTAATAATAAACAAAAATATTTTAATTATTATTATTATTAAACATATTATTAAATATTATTACTTATTTTAATAAAATAATATTATTTATTATTTTATAATAATGATTATTTAATAAGTAATGTTTATTTATTTTTACTAAATAATAATATTACTATTATTGTTAAATAAATATTATTACTAATATTATTATTTCTTTAAATAAGGAAATAATAGTATTTATTAATTAATAATCAATATTTATAACAATACTGATTAATAATCAACAGTATTATTATTTAATAATAATTTTATTAAACCAATATTATGACTAAGTTTTATTTTAATTCAAATAAAAAATAATATTATTTAATAATAATAATATTTCATAATAATTTTTATTATTAAATAGTATTTTTTAATATAATAAAATAACATTTTATAGTAGTTAATAATTTTTTTACAATAAATATTAGTATTATAGTATTTAATAATATGACTTAGATATTTCATAATAATATTTGTTGTTATTATTAAATAATATTTATTTAAATAATAATAATTATTATTTATGAAATAAATATTATTGTTATTTACTAAATAACATTATTTAATAATAATATTATTAAATAGTTATTATTAATAATTGTTATTATTTACATAAATAAGTAATAATAATATATTATTTGATTAATAATAAATATTTAATAAATAATAATAATTATTAAATATTTTTTCAGAATAATATTTATTACTAAATAATGTTTTTTAATATTATAAAATAACAAGTTACTATAGTTAATAGTTTTATTGCAGTAAATATTAGTATTATAGTATTTAATAATATGATTTAAATATTCCATAATAATATGTATTGTTATTATCAAATAATATTTTGAATACAATATTATTTAAATAATAATAATTATTGTTATTTACTGAATAACATTATTTAATAATGATAATATTAAATAAGTTAGTAAATGCTATTATTTATGTAAATAATAACAGTAGTAATAATATTTAATTAATAATAAATATTTAACAATAATATTTATTATTATTAAATATTTTTAATATTATGAAATGATATTTAATACTTCTATTTAAAGAAATGTATTATTATTATTACTGTTACTATTATTATTATTATTATTATTAAATAGATGACAGTGATGAGGGCATTAATGTCATTTCATCACATCTGAAATGCATCTTATTCTGGTAGGACATGAGACCAGGTCTTACCATTTCAGATATCTTTTATTGTTTTAGGTGTTAGAAATAGATCGTAATCTCAAACACCACCTACCTCTGAAAAAGACATCTGAAAAGTGTTATCTTTTTTTGATCATTAACTTTGAAAAAATTTCTTTAATTAGAAAACTTTAGGATACACGATACACCAAGAAAAGTGTTATCAAACGCCACCTAAGAAACATGAAGAATAAAGGGATAAGGTTCTTGAGTGTGTGAAGTGGTAACTACTCATTAATCATTATCATGATTCATGAGTCATGATTGATAATTGAATCAATTGATTAAGCATGGAAGTAGAAGTACTTGTATGCAAAGGATGCAACTTGCTTAACTGTTCTCACAATCATTGGACAGGTTTGCAAGTATATATCTCAACTACCATATATTTCTATTGGGGAAGGAAAAATGGTATTAGATAGGTCTGCAAGTATATATTCCTATAGGTGGTGTATGCAAAGCAGTGGGAATGAGGCTAGAAGTTGTTTCCGGGTCTTTTCTTGTATTCATATTGTAAGTACGGTGGTAAGGCTAGAAGGGATGGTCTCCTTGAAGAACGAAGAAGGATTAGGGTCAAAGGCTAAAGAAAATAAAGGACAGGCTTCTGTCTCTCGAGAATCTCAGCAGAGCCGGGTAGTAAGGGTGGTTGAAGAGAATGTCCCCAATCGTGCTCTACAACATCTTTTTATAAGGGAGATCCTGATACTTTAAGGAGAAGGATTCCAAAAGGGATTTGGTTCTTATTAGGAAAGGGAATCCTTGTCTTTATGTCGGTTATCAAGGGAAAGCCATTGGGGTTTTGCCACGTGTCCAATGAGATCCTCTAAGGACAAAGTTCCCTTTTCCTTGAAGATTCTCGCTTAGCACGTGCAGGCTACACCCTGTCATGGGTTTCCTCGTGGCCACGTGTCAAGGACAAGGTTTTGGGTCTGACGGTCGTGTTTGGGTGTCCACCCGATTGTCTCTGGGGTGTCTTGTTGTAGCCTGCTGTGACTAGGAAGGATGTTAACCTCCCCTCAGCAGGCAGGCATCACTGGTATCAGGGTCTATCCACTGTTCGTTACAGCATGGGCTACCATTTCGTGTCAATTGCAAGGCGTGGGCTACCACCCGATTGTCTCTTGGCGATGTTGTTTTATGCCCATTGCGAGTCTCATGCGACACTCTCATCACAGGTCCTAGGAGGCATTTCATGCTTGTTGCAGGTCCTGGATGGTCTTCTAAGCTCATTGCAGATATATGTGGCTCTGTTTTGATACCTTCATTGTGATTATGACAGTGGAGGACCACAGGTACCTACACATATCTGATAACTTTTTGGGCTTCCAAAATAAATCATGTAGATCAAAACATGTATGTGCTGATGCAACAAGATTTGTGGGTTAAGGAGGTTGGATAAGTGGCCAACTCTCATATTTACAGGGTTGGATTTCTAACCATAACAGTCTATATGTTCTGGCTCAAAATTGATTGCAATAGGAGGTCCATTTTGAAGTCCTTTGGTACTGTATAGCCCTTCACAATGGTATCTTTTCCATTTCTTTTTCTTCAGCTTTCGGTTCCTCAGAAAAGAAATGTTAATGTTACATGGAAATAATCAACTTGGAAGCTATATGATGACAAATTGACACATAATCAAAGGCTGTTCAAAGGTCAATGCTTAAGTGATGTTTCTTCTTAGACTGTTCAACTTTATTCTACCTTAGAATTCTTATGCAACTGCCTTACAACAATATATCCCTTCTTTACAAGATACCAGAACTAATTGGAAACTTTAAGATTCTTTTGATCAGTTGGTAATTTCTAATGTTCAACTGCTTCTCATTTTAATATAATAGAAAAAGCCAAGCCAGAGTTTAACTAAACATATGCTACTTAATTTTTAGTGTAAGGTTTCAGTATTTTATTGCTTTCTGTCTTAGATTGTTCTCCATTTGCTGACATCTTCCCTCTATATCTAATGTGGGTTATGTTTCAAACACGAGGTGCCTTAGTTATGTTCAAAATAACATGGTAGTTGACTATAAATGTCTAGTTCCAGCTCTTCCATGGGTCTACTTTGGTTTATTTCATCATCATCATAACATCATTTAAGCCTTATCCCAACTTTGATGATTTAACTTTCTTAATTAAATGCTCATTTTCTTTTTCCAACCCTTTTTTGGGGCTTGTTACTTGTTTCTGTATTTATTTTGCTTACTTGTACTGTTTATTTTTTATTGTTGAAATTTGCTCATGTAGTTGTTTACTATAGGTACATGTTTGGTGAAACATCTTGTGTGCTTGGTGATTGATGAAGCTCATCGGGCACTTGGGAACTATTCATATTGTGTAGCAGTTCGTGAGGTTTGTCTTGTAAATGTATTTTCAATTATATACTAATAATCTATATCATATCATCCCACCTTTTTCCATGTGCATGTGTTTGTATATGTGTATGGGTAGATTTTATTTCTCCAGGATCTTAATCATGTCATACATTTGCAGTTGCTTTCTGTACCAGTGCAGTTGAGGATATTGGCTTTAACAGCAACACCAGGGTGTAAGTTGTCTTCTCATTCATTAATTTTATGGAAAATTTCTCTAGTTTTTTGATTCTTATACTGTTTTTTTGATCAATATTGTTATACTTAATGTTGTGGTTCAGCAAAGCAGCAGACAATTCAGAATGTTATTGATAACTTACATATTTCAACACTTGAATATCGGAATGAAAGTGATCATGATGTCAGCCCATATGTACACAACAGGAAACTGGAACTGATAGAGGTATAGTTCTTTGCTTTTGAAATTCTGGATAACACTGATGTTCTGGTGTAATTGACTCTGTTTCTTACAATAACACTAGGTTGCAATGGGGAAAGATACTATTGAAATAAATAATCTGCTTTTGGAAGCTATACAGCCTTTCGTAACTAGACTTTGTGCAGTTGGCGTACTCCATAATAGGGATTTTCAAACGGTATGATTTGGTTTACCTGTATTAGTGCAGTAAATTTAATCTCTTAATAGTTGCTCTGAAGTTTGCTAACCTTATATATTCATACAAAGCATGGTTTAAAATGTCAACATATTTCCTGATATTTCTATGATAGTTTCCATTTCCATGGTAACCAACATGACATAGTTGTCAAGGCTATGCCTAGGCGGCATGGCACCCTTGGAGGTTCACCTTGCCTAGTTGCCAAGCAGTTTTGTACATTGTGTTATAAATACTTTTATGTTCTTAATTTTTTGAGTTTATAATTATAAAATAGACATTATAATTTCTTTGAGTTTATGTTCATTTTGTGTTTATATACTAATTTCTTTTTATTATTTTCTTATTTGTTAGGGTTTAATCAATGCAAACATTGCTAAATGCTGTATTGAACCCTCAAAGACTTCAAAACCTGAACCAATAAGTAAGGAAGAACTTAAAATTTTGTCTAATCAACACATCTTCTTCTTCTTCCTCCATCTTTTCTTTTATTCTTTTCCTATAACAAAAATATTCATTTTGTGTTTATATACTAATTTCTTTTTATTATTTTCTTATTTGTTAGGGTTTAATCAATGCAAACATTGCTAAATGCTGTATTGAACCCTCAAAGACTTCAAAACCTGAACCAATAAGTAAGGAAGAACTTAAAATTTTGTCTAATCAACACATCTTCTTCTTCTTCCTCCATCTTTTCTTTTATTCTTTTCCTATAACAAAAATAGGGGTTCAACCCCTATATTTTTTTGAAATTTCTTTTCTTTCTTTTATTTCTTCTCATGGATATGTTGATTTTTTGTACTTAAACATGAATTTTGTGCTTTTCTTATGAAAATTATGGATAATTATTAAGGAAATATGGTTATGGAACCTAGGGAACTACCCTAGGAGGCTAGGTTATACACTTTTTACTTAAAGAATCCATCGCCTAGGCGATCAGTGACAAGGCGCCCCCTGTTGCCTAGCCTTGCCTTGGCGCTTGAAAACTATGGCTAAATGGTGTACATTAGATAGAATTATAACATGATGAGTTGGCAATAGTATTGTAGATATGTGGTGTAGCAATATTATCGCTTACTTAATGGAGATGATGGCGTGAGCTAATTTTTTTGCCCGATGTGGTGTTAAATCTTAGCTTTTGTTTGCGTAACAAGATGGATATCAATGACGGGGTAAAGTAGAAAATAATCAAAGATTTATTGTAAGAAAAATACGTTTTCAGTTCAAAAATGGGGGAAGAGAGAACATTTGAGAGGTTAATTGTGCCCAGTTTGCTTACATAATGCTGTAGCTTAAGCTTTGGGTCTCCTTTTGTAAACATATTAGCCAGCTATTCTTCAGAAGCATTAGATGGAAGACAAACTTCTCTAGAGGTATCCCTCTCTTGTATGACGTGTCTGTCAAGGTCAATATGTTTTGTGTGGTCATGTTGGATTGGATTATTTGCAATGTTTATTGCTGACTGGTTGTTGCAATACAACACCATTGACTTCTCATTGACAATAACGAGCTCTCCAAGTAGGAATCATAGCCACAAAAGCTTTGGGACACAAACACCATGAGCCATTGTTCTATATTATGCTTCTGCTGATGATTTAGCAACCACAGATTGCTTCCTGCTCCTCCCAAGAACCAAATTACCATGAACAAGAGTACAATATTCAGAGCTAGACTGCCTATCATCCACACAAGCACCCCCATCAACATCTATATAAGCTTCTATGTTCTATCCACATGTGTCAATGATTGGCAAACAATAGTCCCTTTTCTTGAACCCAAGCTTCTATGTTCTATCCACATGTGTCAATGATTGGCAAACAATAGCCCCTTTTCTTGAACCCTTTAGGTAACAAAGAATCCTTTTTGCTGCCACCAAATGATTGACAAACAATTCTACCTCTAAAAGAATGTGAACTTAAAATGGGGACATCCACAATACAACTGAAGTACCTCCAAACCTTTGAAGCCAGCACGCTTTGAATGAGAAGGTGGTTAGTAGACTCGACTTGCTTCCGTCTGCAAACAATTACAAGCAGAAGCTAGAGTGATTTGAAGTCTTTGAATACTGCTATCAGTTGAGATATTTGCTTTCAACAACTTCCAACAAAAGAGAAAGATCCTAATAGGAAATTTACAGTTCCACACAAATTTTGGCCACCAAATTATAGGAGAGGTCTCCGTAATTGAAAGCCAAGTAGATTTAGATGAAACCTCCAGATTTGTCTGGCAACCAGATCCATTCATCCTGGCCCATCAACCAGTGAACTTTCACTTCACCAAGCAAAGCCACAATATGTGAATCAAGCAAACTCAGCTGATCAAAATTCCAGTCTCCATTCTCATCCAACACATCAATGAGTCTGGGAGATAAATCAAGTTGAGGAAGATTTGACACCCATATGACCAAGGGCCCACCATCACACCACCTATCCAGCCAAGTCAAGACTTTGCCCTCTCTAACATGCCACATTGAAAGCTCAATTAAGTCATCCATTAACCTGTAATTAGCTCACCGAGTAGAAGAGCCAGTGTTATTAACCACTGATGCTGATGACACAAGAAATTGCCAACAAAGAAGGAAAAAGGACTTAAGGCATTCTTCCTTTGTGGTGACATGGATAACATGGAAGGAAAGGAATGCATGGGTTTTCAATAACAAGATCACCTGTCCAGAGGCAACATGGTGAAAAGATATTGGCATAGCAAGGCCATGTCTAATTATCAGCAAAGAATTCAGGGAAGTTCCTTACTTTTAAGCTTATAGTTTCCATATCTTATATGCAACACAAATAGATAATATTTGGACTTTGTATACCTAATGATTAAGCTGCTTGTGTTAACACTTTTACACTTTTGTATGAATACATTATATTTGCCTCGTCAGATAAAAGTGCAAAGAGCAAAACTTTCACCATAATTAGGAAGATGCCTTTTGACCCAAAAAGTAAGAGACCAGATCTACTGCCAATATTTTGAAATGACAAAATGCCTTTATAGCCGAAAAATGCTGAAAATGAAGAGTTGAATTCTCCATCAAGTATATTTTGTTTTTGGCTGTCGAGAAGTTGAACCTCGTATAGATCTGTTTGGTGCTTTTCTTATAATTAGTGCTCATTTTACAATGTTATTAAGAATCATCACTGATTTTTGCCAGTTGAGTCCATGTGAATTACTTAATTCAAGGGATAAATTTCGTCAAGCACCTCCACCTGCTCTTCCTCATACAAAATATGGAGAAGTAGAAGGATATTTTGGAGTTCTTATAACACTTTACCACATACGAAAGTTACTTTCAAGCCATGGAATAAGGCCAGCATATGAAATGCTTGGAGAGAAGTTACAACAAGGGTATGTGCTTTTGCTTACATTATTTAAGCAATTTTTCTTCATAATGACAAACTTTAGGATTCTAAAAGTTTATCCTTGCATAATACTTGTGAAAGTACTTTTCTTGTGAAATTTTCTCTCTAAGGTGAATTTGTTTGAACTCTATCCATCTCTATGGAAGTGAGGATTTCTTTATATGTGGACAGTGGATGGCTAGGAGATTTGATTCAAAATACAACTTTTAACTTGTGGATAGACTAATAGTCTTTGGACGAGAGAGGATATGCGTATTTTGGGGGGAAGGGGGTGCAGTTGCCTTGTGTTATTTATCCTCTACTAGAGGCAAGGTTTAAAATGTTGATGTCGGTGGAAATGTCGGTCATCCAAATATAAGCAACATGTCTTGAATGTCGGAAATATCGTATGGAAATATTGTAAAAATTATAGACATGGTGGTAACATTTTAAAATATGCAAAATATAGAAAGGTATTTTATGAAATGATAAAAGAAGCATAGGCACACCTTTTTAAATTATTATCTTGTTGCAAATCATTAAACAAAGCTAAGAAACTGAGGTTATAGACAAAAGAATGCGTTCTGAAGTTGCCCTGTAAACTTTAAGATGCAGAGCTTCATGATAAAACGAGTTAAAGCAAAATTTCAACTCATAGAAAATGTAAATGATTGTAATAGATCAACCAAATAATCTATTACACAAACAAAAAACTAGAAATGAATATTTGAGCTAGCTCAAAGTGTTAATCATGTAAGTTAGGCAGACAATAAAATTGTTACATAACATATTTACAATATTGTACCAACTTATGTTATAATACTATCTTTTGGACTCCACATAGTACTGGTAGTGTTCACTAGGAAATATGTTGATTCCATTAAAATTTTGTGTCGCTACCCATGGAAATGGCAATATATCGTTGAAATATTAGGGAAATTAGGGGCATTTTAAACCATGCCTAGAGGTGGCTATAATTTTAGGTACCACTGTTCATGTAGTACCTTGGATATTTTCTCCCCAAATATTATGTTTTCTGATTGGTGACAGGTCTACTCCTGAGGATTCTAAGTTTTTTGTTGCCTCTAGTATTTTTTTACTACTATTGGATGTTCTATTTACTTCTTTTGAGGCCTTAAAATGAGATCGTTGTTTTCTGACCAGGCTATTTCTGTTGCATGATATACATATGCAGAACTTTACATTTTATTCAAATGACCCAAAAAAATGGTGAACAAAGAATAATTGATTCCTCTCAAGCTTAGAAACCTATATTTTTTATGGTACTTTTTCCATCATTGGTATTGCTGATTACATGGATTACCTATCCCCTCTTTTCGTTTTTTTGTTCTTTTGTTAATGAGGAATTTATCATAGATCATGGGAATAAAAGGTGATGCAGGAGCTAAAGAGTCCAAATTGGCATTCTTTGAATTTTTATATATTCATGTATTTTTGACAGTAGGGGTGTTTTTGTCATTTTAAAAATGATCTGTGGGGTTTGATGAAAGGATCTGGTTTGTCTGGTTATAGTTGGTTTATGTTGAAAGTTTTAGACTCATCAAATACGTAGTTTATGAGTTATTAAGTCTTCTTTGAATTGACTAGGATTGTGGTAAAGTACCAAGCTTCTATTTTTTCATGATCTACAGTATAAGTATGTATGGATGTTTTACACAATAATCAATGAAGCTTATTTGAGTTCCTACAGCTTATGCTACTGATGGTGAGTGATTCCCATTCCCTAGAATGATTGCTAGGCCTCTCTTTCTCTCTCTTCTTTCTTAATCCTTCAAGAAGCCATTAAAGTCTGCAATAGCCATAAGTTTACCACCAAAATCCATTCATCCTAGTCTCACTAAAATTTGTTTCAAGTCCAGCCGTCGATCACATCACTCCCATCTCAATTGGTATCAGAGCTTATGGTTAGGCACTATTTTCTCACAAAATGACTGTTTAAATAGGCCTAGAATATCTTGAAATCAATTGTATGAATATGGATTTGATAACATACCTTCTTATGGTCTATAATCAATGGCAGCCAGTTTTTTGAACCATACCAGGAGAAATGTCATCTTTTTTTTTTCGGTTTTGTAATTTATTTATATCAGATGCTCTTTTTTAAGCAAGAAAATTTGTTTGTGATGGAGTACATGAAAGAGTTTTGATTAATAACAGAAACTTTTTATTAAAAGGAAAAATAGCTTACAAAGGAAACAAAGGGGAGAGATCAAAACTCTTCCCAAGAAAAACAGAAAAACAGTTACAACACTGCCCAAAACAATCGTTCCCTTCCCACCCCTTGTTTAACCAGAGTATCTGCAAAGGATGAAGGAAGGGGAAATCCATCATATGGGTGTCCGAACCATGCTAGATGGCTGGGCGAAATTTCAAAAATTTCCTTTTACCCTTCCGAGAATTGTATTCCCAGTTTTAGAAAAACAACAATTTTCAAGGATTGTTCTTGCACCGAACCGGACCGGATCTGAAACCAAAATGAAGGGAGAAGTATACCTGATACGGATTCCACAAATGTAGCTCCCAAAAGAGAGTACCAAAACTAGCTTTCATTGAAGATGACACAACTTGAATTGAGGCCGCTTGAGCAACACAGTTTTTTAGAAAAAACTGTAATCCAACAGCTTGGATCGAGCAAGGGTGGTGAGCACGAATTGAATCTGATATTTTCTTGCAAAAATTGGAAATCAGAACTGATCTTTATCAGTTCAGGAACTGGAGGTTGAACTAGGGTTTCTGGGCGGCAAGAGCAGATTGATAACTGGACACCCTTCTTTTATAAGCCTTAAGGATCAATATTCCTAATCGAATTAGGAGGATCCTAATCCAAATCTTTATTTGGATTTGGACTTTTTAAGTGGATAAGACTTATCCTCTTATCCTAATTGTTGATCCAAACCCATATCCATACCCATATTCACCCATGTTACATGACTGCTTAAGTTGTCATCTGACCACTTGATTAATCTAATTAATCATGGGCTTTAGGCCCATTAAGTAAGTGGCTAACGACCCTAGATAGTTGCTGGCCCATTTGGTTCTCTTTGTATGGCATGGGACCCCAACAATGACCTCACATAAGCCCACATGGGTTCGGCCCATCCTATGTGAAAAGGCCTAGCTGAATTCACTGTCAAGTATAGTGAACCCTTGAGTTCATCAGTATGGGCTCTTAATGGGCCTACCATATACACTAAATGATCCTTTAGTCCAACCATCCTATAAAGGCCCAAGGACAATGGACTTAAGTGAAATATAGCCCATTAGGTAAAACAGCCCTAAATGGTCTTTTACACTTAATATCTCAACCCTTAATGATAAAAAACTACCCGATAGGGAAGGACCTCTCCCCTGGCTACAAGGTGTAGTGTTGCACTCTCTGCTTGGATGGGTCCCGAGAATTAAAACCTTTTGTAAACTTTTTTCTTAAAACATAATATATATATATATTTTGCAAAACAAATCTCAAACTCGGATGAAATCGACTACCGACGGTTTTGGTTTCCATCAGAGAGACTGCAGTCCCGATCATTCACTTTGTTCGACAAAGGGGCTGATCCTGTTACTATGATCACCCACTTGAGTGAATTCTCAGACTGCCCCAACATACTAGGTTTTGACCTCCGAAGGATCTCATTGATTGGCATATCAAAGACAACCCAATTTGTCACCCAGTGCAATACCATAATCGAGTCTAGGGGTTATGTGTAACTTTCTAGTTTTGCCCATCAGTCTCCAAGGTCCAGGGCATAACTGGAAATTGGTCCGGGTTCAGTGTTTCAAACACACACTGCATGTGCTTTGGGTCTAACCTTGGCAACTGAGACGAGCTGCCCCAACCTTTTTGGTAGCACATCAGTATTAGCCTTGGCAGGATAAACTTCCCCAAGTCTATCAAACGGCTGAGAACATTCTAAACTAACACGAGTCTCATAAGTGTCCAGTTTAAGGGTAATTACATAGAAACACACCAATTATAACATGAATCAATTATGTACTTTTATTCATTTACAATAAATGGATATGTACATCAATCTGATTGGAGCTAAGGGCATACACTGTATAACAAAGGAATTAGCAATTTTCTAAACCCAATGAAGCTGAATCTCTATTCCTCAAGCTACCCAGTCAAACTCTCTTTTTTCATTAGTAAATTTCTAGAGTTTACTATTCTCCTTTTGCAACTAGTTTTGAATCTCCTTCTATAATTAGCTTTTGAATGTTCAACTCCTTTGCCTTCTTTATCCCTTCCAACACCACCATGACCTTGGCTCTAAGAGAGTCCGCAACCCCAATTGGACTAGAATACATCACAATTACTTTCCCCTCTTCATCTCTAAAGGTACCTCCTACACTTGAAGGCCCTGTGTTGACCTCACTACTACCATCAAAATTTAGTTTTATGAACCCTAGAGCTGGTGTAGACCAAATAGATTGACTCTCATCTAGACTGGTATTTAAAGAGTTAGTCATTCATTATAACATCATTGAAGATGACAGGTAGAGATTGGCTTGTTTCAAGAATGGGATGAGACCAAACGTTAGTGTGTATTGGAAGATTTGTTAATTGAGGGTTTGTTGAGAGAGAAGAAGAAAAGAGAAGAGAGTCTTATGAATGAGAGACGTGTGGAACTGTTCACACACTTAAACTTGATATTTAAACTGTAAGGGAAAATTACAAGAATGCCCTTACTTGGGTTCCTAGATACAAAAATGATAAGAAAGACCAAAAATCCCTTGCCTAAGTAGTCTCAACACTCCCCTTAAGCTAGGCATATATGTCATGCCCAGCTTGTTTAGGTTCTTTGCAAACTTTTGATGGTGAACACCTTTTGTGAAACAATTAGCAACTCGGTCTTTCAACCTTACAAAGGATCAATAATTTAAAAAACGTGCCTCAAGCGCGCCTAGACGCACAGGCAAGGCGCATTTTAGGGTATGCACCTTGCCTAGGTCCTAGGCGCACACCAGGCGTGCGTCTGATGCGAG